AAAGACTGCAAATGAACAGATAGAGAAAAGGGCTGGCCAGATAGCTCAGCAGACTAATGTGCCTGCTTAGGCAAGTGCAAGGACCGGGGTTCCATCTCCAGCACTGCATACCCCACCAACCCCACCCTCAGGTGTGCTGAGCCAGCCACCGAGTCCAGGCACGGGGGCGCATGCCTGCCATCCCAGCACTTGGGAGGCTGAGGAGGAGGATTAAGCCATAAGTTCAAGGCCACTCTACATGGCCAGAATTTGTCTCAAAAAAAAAAAAAAAAAAAAAAGGTAAAATAAAAAAGGAAAACCAGATATAAGTAAAACAAGTAAAATGTCAGAGTATAAGTGAAAAGCACTCAGACACTGTGGCACTGTCCTGGCATAGGAATGCTGCTGGTGGAAGCAGCACCTGTCTCTGAACTTCAGTCTCCCCTCTCTTCCAGTGCGGGTCTCGAATGGCTTTCTCCAGCCACCAAGTGAGACCCTAGAGTCCCCTCCTCCATATTAAGCCACATGCCTAGACACAGAGCCCCTCACCAGCTTCTAGGCAGGGTCACAGACATTTGGGGGGGGTTGTTTATTTGAGACAGAGTCTTACTATGTGGTCCAGGCTGGCCTTGAACTCATGGCAATCCTCCTGCCTCAGCCTCCCCAGTGCTGCCATGACAGACATGCACCACTGCACTATTATTTGTGGCACACCAGGAAACCAAGGCATGGGTCACAGTTGCCTGCTCAAGGTAGCAACTGGATCTGACTCAGGGCATCAGAAGCACCACCACCCACTGGGAAGCACCACCCACTCAAAAACTTCAGTCTCGCAGGGATATGGTTCAGCGGCACAAGCGCTTGCCTGACAAGTAGTACAAGATCCTGGTTCAATTCCTGGTAGCAGAAAACAAACCTCGGTCTAAGGAATGTCAGTGTGAGGAAGCTGAGGCAGGAAGACCACCGAGACACTGGGCACAGGAGCCGCAGTTTTGGTCCTAAAGAGGGCACTATATTCCCAAGCATGAGGCCAGGGAGTCCTCTAGTGGCCACGGAGAGGATTGGTTGTAATCACCTTCCCTACAAGCCGACGAAAGCGTGACTGGTTGTCAAATCCAACGTCCCCTTCTGCAGGAAGACAAACGAACTTCTTTTAATTCGTCAACGCAGGCTGAAAACAGGAGGATCACAATGAGTCCAAGCTGGGTAGTGAGACCCTGTACCGAATACATTTTAAAAACATACACACGGGCCAGGCAGATAGCTCAGGGGATTAAAGTACCTGCTCAGACAGAAGCAGGGACAGGGGTTCATTCCCAGGAGTGCTGTGTCGGCCCGCCTCCAGGGTGCGCTGAGCTGGCGACTGAGACTGGGTGTGGTGGCACATGCCTGTAATCCCAGTGTTTGGGAGGCTGAAAACAGGAAGATCACTAGGAGTCTGACCTGTGTAGTGAGAACCTGTACATCTCACACACACACACACACACACACACACACACACACACCAAAGTCCTAGTTCCAACACACTTTTCTTCTAGGAATCCCTTTTATTGGGGTAGGGGAGGCGGAGCTGGGGACTGAACTCAGGCCCTTGTGCTTGCCAGGCAAGCACTTATTCTACTGAGCCATCTCCCTGGTCCCTAGGAAGCCCTCTTGTCTTCCCAGGCCAAATCGGGGTCACCTTAGGATTCCACCATGTGGCTCAACTTCAGGGGCGCCAGACTGTTAGTGTGCATGTAAGGTCTGGTGCTCAGTGGATGTTTGTTGAATGAGTAAAAAAATGTTTGAGGGGGGGCCTGGCCCTAGCTCAGTTCTTTAAGTGGCTGCTTCCACCAAGCTGTCAGCCTCAGGTGGCTCTAGTTCGATCCCCACAACTCTCCTGCCAGCCAAACAAGCCCTGAGGGCATTCGGAGCAAAAAAAAAAAAAAATGTATGAGGGGGCTGGTGAGATAGCTCAGCAGAATAAGCACCTGCTTTAGAAAGTGCAGGGACCACAGGTTCCATCCCCGGCCTTGGCCTTGGGGCGCGCTGAGCCTGCCAATGAGTCCGGGCATGGTGGTGCACGCCTGTAATCCCAGCACTGGGGAGGCTGAAAACAGGAGGCTCACTATGAGTCTGAGCTGTGCAGCAAGACCCTGTACCAAATATATATATATATATATATATATATATATATATATGTTTGTTTTTTCGGAACCAGGGATTGAACTCAGACACTTGGGCTTGCCAGGCAAGCGCCTATTCTACTGAGCCATCTCCCCGCCCCCCCAAATATATATTTTTTTAAACTTTTTTTTTTTAATTTTATTTATTTATTTATTTGTGTGTGTGTGTGTGGCCAGCTCAGCCCACCAGGGGGCAGGGCTGGCTGGCATGTGGTGCTGGGGGATTGAACCGTGGTCCCTCTGATTTGCTAAGCTTGTTCTAAGTAGGTGCTTTAGACCACTGAGCCATCTCACCAGCCCCCCCCAAATATATTTAAAAAAAAAAGTATGAGGCTGAAACTAACCTCAGAGTTGATCCTCGCAATTGAGAAACCTTTGTATTTAATTCTGGGAGGAAGAGATTTGGGTTCCTGCTCCCTCTGCACCCAGGGGTGCTGGGCGGTCAGCCCCAGGAGCACTGTGGGAGCAAAGCTCAGATTGAGCCCGAGGGTCACTCTGAGGCGCAGGCAGCAGGTTAAATTCTGAGGGAACGTGTGCCCCCCCTAAATTCATAGTACGGGTGTTTGTGGGACGCTGTTTGCGCCAGGCATTGTGAAAGGCCCAGCCAGAAAACACAAAAGTCTCTTTTTTTAAAAAATTATTTATTTATTTTTATTTATTACATTTATTTATTGTGTGTGTGTGTGTGTGTGTGTGTGTGTGTGGCCAGCTCAGCCCATCAGGGGGCGGGGCTGGCTGGCATGTGGTGCTGGGGGATCGAACCGCGGTCCCTGTGCTTTGCCAAGCTTGTTTCAAGTAGGTGCTTTAGACCACTGAGCCATCTCTCCAGCCCCAGGAATTTTTTTTTTTTTTTTTTTTTTTGGTGGAACCGGGGATTGAACTCAGTCCTTTGCGCTTGCCAGGGAAGCACTTATTCCACTGAGCCATCTCCCCGGCCCCTACAAAAGTCTCTTAGTCAGGTGGAAAGAGCTGAATTAAAAGATGAGAGGAAGAAAGCTATTCGGGAATCTAGAGGACGGTGCATCCGGCAGGGGCGTGTTGAGCTTGGAGCATGCCAGGAAAGAGAGAACAGTAGAGCGCAGCGAGGGGGCGAGCCCGGCAGATGAGGAAGTAGAGCGAAAGATAGGGCCTCCACAGGTTTGAAGAAAGAGGAGGGGCCCGCATAGGACCCACCTTTTGGCCCTCCTTGGCCTCCAAGTGGCTCCGCCCCCGCATCGGATCAAGGTTGCCAAGGAGACTCGGCCCCGCCCAGCGCAGGCCTCCTCCACAGCCTGGGTTCCGCCCTCGTGCCCGGTCCCCATTGCCGAGGAGACTTGGCCCCGCCCTTCGGCCTATTCTGCCTCTGCCAAGCCTGGCCCCACCCCTCACTAGATCCCAGTTGCTAAGGAGACTCAGCCTCGCCCTTTTTCTCTACATCCCCAGTTTAGCTCCGCCCTTTGCCCGGGCCCTAGTTTGACGGCCACGGCTTACTTGTTCCTCAGCGGCCACCGTCGCCTACACTGCCGGCAGAGGAGCGCGCCGTCCGCGCCGTTCGCGCGTTCCCATCCCACGCTGTGCGTGCTGTGCGTGAATGTGCGTACCATGCGTGAGCGTGCGCGGGTGCGTCGGCCGGCGAGGGAGCAGCAAACGGCCGGCGGCTGGCGCCGCGCGGGGGGGGGGGCGGGTGGCGCGGAGGCAGCGGTGGCCATGGCCGAGGCGTCTCCGCAGCCCGGACGGTACTTCTGCCACTGCTGCTCGGTCGAGATCGTGCCGCGCCTGCCGGTGAGGCCCGGGCGGGTGGGGGGCTTTTTCGCTCAGGCCTGGCCGGGCCGCGGCCGGGTGAGGGGCGCCGACGAGGAAACAGGCCGGGTGGCGCCGGCGCAGGGTCCCCCCCTCTCGTGAGGCGCCCGAGACGCTGTGTGCCGGAGCCTCTGATCTGATGCGGGGCTTTGGGGCCGAACAGGAGGCGGGCGGTCTGGTTAACCACAGGCTCGCGTGAACTCTTGCTGCAGCGAGTTTTGCATTGCAGGCGTGGAAACAGGCTGAGGAGGCCGAGAGCTGGGCGGGTGGGTTGGAAGCACCGCAGGGAAGGTCAGCGTGGGCATTGCTTCGGGACCCAGGACGGGGAGCCCGTGGGCAGGCGAACCCGACGGAGCGTCGGGGCACGATCTCCACGCGTGTCTTCGGGCTTCGGGTGCGCGCTTCGCCACTGTGTCCTCAGAGGCATCGCCACCGATACTTGGCATTCAGAAACGCAAGATGAAGTCCGCAGCTCCAGGCGCTAGACCGGGGTCCTACAGTTGTGCGTGGCAAGTGTTCGTGGTTAGACCCTACTCTGACCGGGCGCACGCAAGCCCAGGGATCGTATCTTGGGGGCTTGGCTGCAGTGCTTGCTCTCCATGTGGCAAGAGGCTGCCTTCTGGCCCAGGGGCCCGTGTGGGTCCCTAGGGTGCTTCCTTTTCCTTTTAGGTAGTGTTTTTTCGGCTGGCGTGCAGTCACCTGGTGGGGGTTGGTGGGGATGTGTGCTTCCAGAAGGCACTGTTCCAGTCTTCTGTCCCTGGATTCTCAGTAGGTCTGAAGTGGGTCTGGCCATCTGCAGTTTCAGCCCCTGTTCCTCAGGTTAGCTGGGAAAGTGGCCATTTAGTCCAACCCATCTCTGATTTTCGGGTGGGGTGGGAAAACGGCAGGTGGCTTCAGGCAGCACGTGGTCCTGATGTTCACCCCCCCTGCCACCCCCAGTGAGGCTGGAGGAGTGAGGAGATAATGTGGAGCCCACAGTTGGGAAAAGGCTGGGGCTCTGAGCGTTGGCACTCCTTCCCAATGAAGCTGTCGTATTCCCTGGGAGGAGGGCTTTCAGAGGAGGAACCTTTCTGGTTCTCTGGGCAGAGAAGGAGAGTGTTGGAGTTGGGCTTGGCAAGAACAGGACCGGGACCAGTAGGAGGGAGAAGTAAAATCTGGGAATGTGGTGTAGGTTCTGGAAGCTAAGATTGGCAGTGCAGCTGCAGAGGGTGGTGTACTGTATACCGTCCTAGTTACGGCCCTGCAGGATGGGTGTACAGAGCTGACCTGGGCCCTCTGCACCTTGGTTTCTTTTGTGGATCCAGTACTGTGATCGGTCCCCATGTGGAGTGGCCTCTCCTGGCCTTGTAGCTTTGGATGGAAAGGACCCAGACCTGTGTGAACAAATGGTGCCTGAGCCTGTGAGGACCTTCCTCTGGTCACAGCAATCCAGCATGGCCTTTGCCCTTACAGGGGTTACAGGCTAGGCAGGGAGTGACAAATGTTTAATGAGAAACGTTGGTAGATTTAAGAGCATGGGTTGGTGGGGAGGGGATGGGGGCACTGCTGGGGAGGTGGAGCAGGGCTGAGCTGGCAGTAGGCCGCAGCTGTGTGTCAGAGCTGCTACGAGGGCTGCGAGGGCTGCTCGTGGTCTGGGAAAGTCCCATTGCCACTGGCACCTTGCAGAGGGGCCTTGCCCACACTGTGGTTGCTGTGATGCTGCTTTTTATGAAACGCCAGCTGCTGGCCTTGACAGGAACTGGCTGCGGTTGCAGTGGTGCATTCTCAGGCTGGGCTGCCAAGGACCAAAAACTAGCCCCCAGGGCTTCTCAGGACCACCCTGGGGTCTAGGGGTTGCCAGCCCCTGCCTGCTGTAGGTGTCCATCCTGTGACTTGCCTGTTATGATGTTCTCAGCAGGAGCTGTGTGCACAGTTGGGACTGGCAGAAGTCGGACTTAGGCTGGGCCTGGGCCTGTGAGAGGCAATGGCGGAGTATCTGGGTGTCCCCAGAAGGTTGGCTCAGCTGGGTTGGGGTGGGAGCTAAAACCAGACAGGCCTGCTGGAGTGGCAGCCACACTTGGGTCAGGTATGTGGGCCTAGACCTGCTGTGTCCTAGGGTGTACTGATGTGGGGTGTGGGCATGGGGGTCCTATGGGCTAGCTTCCAAGGGTGAGTGGAGGGACCCTGTAGTGCATGTGTACTGGATTCATGTGGCCCATGGATGCTGCCTGCATTCCATGAGAGGTGGTTGTAGGACTTAGAGCAGGTATGTGCCATGAGGGCCCTGTTCCAGATGCAGCAGGTTCAGTGGGGGTTCCCTCACCCCAGCTCCTGCAAAGAATGATAGCTGTCGGTTCCCATGACAGACCTGCCTTCCCTCCCAGAGACGTGTGTGAGTGCAGATGGGGCAGTGAGTATCTGGACCACAGTGAGCAGAGAGAGGCAGCAAGTGGTGAGCCACTGGGCAGTGTGGGCAGCTATTGTCATTGTCACTAAGCTCTGTCTGGCTTTGGAGGCCCCCCCTCACTCCTCCCTAGGTGCCTCCATCAGCTGTCAGGCCACTGCCCACCTGGTGTGTCCTGTGTCACACTGGATGTTAGGGCAGTGACTACCTACCCCTCTTCACAACAGTTGTCCCTGCAGAGGCCCCAGAGGGCAAGGTCAAATGGTGCATTGAGCATCAGAGATGCCCAGGGATCCATGGGATGTGTGTTTGGGTGGGTATGGGCAAATTCCTCCCACCCACGACTGCTGCTTCAAGACCTGCCTGGGAGGAGGGGCAAGCCATCCCAGGGACCAGAGCACTCTCTCTGAGGCGCCTGTGCAGCAGCACATCAGGGTCCCAAGCCCATCACGGTACTCACTAGCCTGAGAAGGACCTGCAAGGAGGAGCCAGGCACCCCTGAACCAGTGTGCCCACTGGTTTCAAGTGTGTGATGGGTACATCCCACCAGTGTCCTGAGTGCAGGCCCAGGTCTCCAGCAAGCCTCAGACATAGGGCCGTGGATTCATTTTCCGGTCCTTCTGCTGGCTGGCAATAGGTACACATGTGTGGTGTGGAGGCAGTGCATGCATCTGGCCAATTGCAAAGTCAAGGCTTCCTAGGGGTTTTGGGGGCCATTTGCCACAGGTGTAAGTGCACAGCAAGGTGAAGGTTGCTATTATGAGGTGATCATTTGAAGCCAACCTGCTACTCAGCTCTTGGCTTCATTTCCCCTCATGTCTGGCCCTCAGTGTTTGCTGTGCCAGGGCCCCAAGTGAAGGGTGGCATATGGGTGCCCATGGAAGATGAGGTTGCCTGGGTCTGCACTTGGCAGGCTTTTGGTCACAATCGTAGCTCACAGCTGGGGGCATCACCTTGACAGGTATCAGGAGGAACAGGGCTGCAGGGTGACCTCTCAATGTGAGTTCCGTAGAGAGGTGGGCAGGCAGACACCTGGGGGAGGACAGTCAAGCAGAGACAACAGACAGTGTGACAGTTGGTGTGGCAGAGGTAGGAAAGCAGGCAGCCAGTGGGCCCAGGTAGTGCAGAACACAGACGCAGGTGGCCTCTGACCAGGTCCCTCAGTGGTGAAAACAGCTGGTCTGGGCCACATGTGGACTGAGAAGGCATTGGGGGCTGGTAGACACTTGGGGACACTCACATCAGGGAAGACAGGATAGTGTGGGGAATCTCTTTGCCCACAGGTAGTGTAGCATAGGCCACAGTGCTGAGTGGCTCTCATTGACTGGGAGGAGGAGGAAGCTGCCTGGTTTCTTTCTAGAGGTCAAGCCAAACCTCCAGTCAGTAGCCTGAGTGGGTAGGGCCCCTTGGGAGCTTCGCCAGAGTAGGTGTGCCTAGAAGAGGGCTGCAGCCGGTCCATACCGTGTGGGGAACCAGTAGCCCAGGAAGCCGTCCTAGCCCTGGCAGCAATCCCAGGTCATCTGAGTCACACTAGCATCTCCCTGTGACTAGTGGTGTTGGGGAACTTAATGCATGCTTGTTGCCCAGCTGTGTGTGGTTTTGGAGGAGTGTCCTTCTGGATGTAGCATTTTTAAATGATGGTGCTGCTGCTGGGGGTAGCTGGCACCCAGGACCTTGTGTGTGCCTTTGCCAGCCTCCAGGGGTCCTCCATAGGCTGCCCTGTACATTCAGCTGCCCTTGGATGAGACCTCCACTGTCCTTCCGCACACCTCTCATTGGTGGCAGGCATAGGGCAGGTGGATACATGCTGCAAGCAGCCTGTTGGCTGTCAGGGTCAGGCAGAGTCAACATCCCCAGAGCTCAGGGTACATTCTGGCCTCCTCAGCCTTTGAAACCATTCCCTGACCTCTGCCTGGTGCGCATGTGCCCCAGAAGTGACCCTAGGACAGTGCCTAAGCACCACCCACATATGCTAGCAGGGCCCTCTTGGTATGTGTGTGGCTTGTACTCTTCAGTGCTCTGGCTTCAATTCACCTAGTTGCTGGCTGAGGGTCACCAATGGGACTCTGGAGCCCCCAGGGTGCTGTGGGTGCACTGAGGCCTTGTGTCCCAGTGGAAACCACATGGAGTACAGTCTCCTGTGGTGGGGAGACCTGTTGGAGGAGATGGCCTCACCTGGAACTGCTGGGTATGAGGACACTACTGTTACTGCCTTGCCGTGTGTGGCCAGCAGTGCTTGTGTCCCAGACCTTGTCACAGGGAGCAGCCCTCAGGTACTGCTGGCTGGCTGGTACCCTGGCAGAGAGCAGGATGCAATGGACCATAAGCTGACTCTGCCTGGCTCTTCCCACAGGATTATATCTGTCCAAGATGTGAGTCGGGCTTCATCGAGGAGCTTCCAGAAGAGACCAGGTAGCTGCCCCGTAGTCTGGAGTCTAGAGAAGTGGCAGGGCTGGAGTCAGCAGCAGGAAGGCTGGAGCGGGGGTGTGGCCTCAGGGCTATTCACCTCTCCCAGCCTGTCAGCATCCTTGCCTTGAGGGAGGGCTGGGTATGACAGCAGAGCTGGTATAAGGCCTCTGATGGTCAGTATTTGGGTCCGTCTGAGTCACCCTGGGATTTGCCACCTCTTGAGGCAAAGGAAGGTGAGAAGTACCACTATCTACATAGTTCCTCTTTTCCCACCAAGGGGAACAGGAGTGGATGTGGGGCAGCTCTGTGCCTAGTGGGGAGGTGCCTGGCATTGCTGATAGGTGCTGTGTCTGCAGGAACACAGAGAACAGCTCCGCCCCATCCACAGCCCCCACTGACCAGAGCCGGCAGCCCTTTGAGGTGAGTCAGAGCCCCGGTGATCCCCAGTGCCTTGGCCTGGTGGGCCCTGTCTGACATCTGCCTGGGCTCTGCCTTCTCAGTGAGCTTTGGTAAACTTTGTCCAACCATCTCAGGGACAGTCCTTGCCCTGGAACAGCAGACTTGGGAGGTGGAGGTGGTGTGCAGGGGGACTCTGTCTGGCACCCTACCTGGCCTGGCCTCACCTTTGTGCCCACGGTGCCCCAAAGACCTCACAACCTCAAGGCATGCCCCCTGTGCCCCCTCTCCTTAGAATGTGGACCAGCATCTGTTCACGCTGCCCCAGGGCTATGGACAGTTCGCTTTCGGCATCTTTGATGACAGCTTTGAGATCCCCACCTTCCCTCCTGGGGCGCAGGCTGACGACAGCAGGGACCCTGAGGGCCGGCGGGAGAGAGAGCATCAGTCTCGGCACCGGCATGGCACCCGGCAGCCCCGCGCCCGCCTTACCGCCAGGCGGGCTACCGGCCGGCACGAGGGTGTCCCCACGCTGGAAGGGTGAGGGGCTGGGGTGACTGGAGAGGGCCCACTCAGTGGCTAGGAGGTGGACACATGCTCCACCCCTCTACCCCAGGGGAGGACCCCATCTTTTCACCCCACCCCAAGTGAGGCATGTTCTGGGCCCGAGGGAAACAGCCCTAAGCACAGCTGGCTCCCACGCGTGTCCGAACCTTGGCAGAACTGGATCTGAGGGACACTGCTGGTTTCTGCCTTATCTTTATGTCTTCCCTTTGAAAGAAGGGAAGGCTTGGTGGTACACATCTGTGATCCCAGCATCTGGGAGGCTGAGGCAGGAGAATCACCATGAGTTTGAGGCCAGCTAGGGCTACATAATGAGTTCAAGGCTGGCTTGGATGACATAGAGTAACCCTGTCTTAAAAACATCCCACACGGCTCACCTGAGAGCTGGTACCAGCCACTGTCAGCGTCCAGGCTGGCTGGCTATGCTGGTTCGGGTCATGACAGGCCTGCCGCTCACTCTCTTCCAGGATCATCCAGCAGCTGGTCAATGGCATCATCACCCCAGCCACCATCCCCAACTTGGGCCTGGGCCCCTGGTGAGTAGAGGGTGGGGCGTCCCGCCCCTACCACCCTCAGCCTCCTGACCCAGCCTCTCGCCCCCAGGGGTGTCTTGCACTCAAACCCGATGGACTATGCCTGGGGGGCCAACGGCCTGGATGCCATCATCACGCAGGTAACCCCTAACCCAGAGTCCCACAGCCCTGGCCCTGCCTTGCCTCCTGCCTGTTTCTGATGTCTCCTGGAGTGTTACAAAGCTACCCAGCTTGCTAAGCATCCTCTTGCCTGGGCCCTGAGCCCCTACCTCTCCCAAAGTGGGACCCTTAGACCCATGTGCCTGGGGGTGGGGCAACCAGTGGGGAAGGGTGGTAGGATGTCGGTGGGGCCTCTCTGGGCCTGGAGACCTCCTGGCAGCCAGGACAAATGTAGCCTCGGTGCTTTTGCAGGTCCTGCAGCCACCGGCCGCGAAAGGCGGCCCACGCCCCTCAGGAGCGAGCCTCGCCCCCGTCCCCGAGGAGCTCCCGGCACTGTCCTCTTGTCTTTCAGCTCCTCAACCAGTTTGAGAACACGGGCCCCCCGCCTGCAGACAAGGAGAAGATCCAGGCCCTGCCCACCATCCCTGTCACTGAGGAGCACGTAGGTATGGCTGGTCTGTCAAGGATCTTATATGCAAGATTGGGATGGCCATACCAGGTCCCTAGGGGCCTGGGGCCCTCCCTGCCTCATCCCACTTCCCACAGGCTCTGGACTCGAGTGCCCCGTATGTAAGGACGACTATGCGCTGGGCGAGAGTGTGCGGCAGCTGCCATGCAACCACCTGTTCCACGATGGTTGCATTGTACCCTGGCTAGAGCAGGTGAGCAGGCCACAGACCGTACCCACCTCCTCCCAGGCCAGGGCCCACCTGACTGTGCTGTGTCTTGATTGAGCTTGCGTGTAGGCTTCGGGCAAAAAGCCTGATCTTCCTGTCTTTGGTCTTGTTCCCACAAAGCATGACAGCTGCCCTGTCTGCCGTAAGAGCCTCACGGGACAGAACACAGCCACGAACCCCCCCGGCCTGAGTGGTGTGAGCTTCTCGTCGTCATCGTCCTCCTCCTCCTCCAGCTCCCCCAGCAACGAGAACGCCACGAGCAACTCCTGAGCCGTGGGCCACAGTGACACTCAGCGCTTCCCGTTGTTGCTACAGCACACAGCAGCCAGGCTGCGCCGAGGGGACCGGCCCTCCAGGGACCAGAGCTGGGCCGTGCCTGAGGGACAGGCGCTGCTGCTCGCACGAGGGCCTGGCTCCTGTCTTGTCTCTAACCTCACCCTCCAGGTGTTCACGGCAGAATGGTTTTTATGATTTTAAATTATTACTGCTTTGAAATAAATGGACGTTTTGGCTCACATGCGGCCGCGCATGATCTGTGGAGGCCGGGTGGAGCTGCTCACCAGGACTGGCCCAGGGCCTGTCTGCAATCCACAGCCTGCGCCGGCTCAGGACCACAGGGTGACCAGCAGAACCAGGAACAAAACTGCTCCACAGACGTTTTCTAAAAGGAGAAATATGTGTATCTTGAAAGCTATTTAAAATACACCTACTCGAGGAGCCGGTGGTTTGGTGTGTTCCTTCAGCCCCAGTGTGGCTGGCTGGGTCTTGGTGTCACCTGTTGGGGGATTTGCACTACCATGAAGGGAAGACAGGGACAAACAGGCCATCAAGGGGCCAGGGAGACAGCTCAGTAGAATAAGTGCTTGCCTGGCAAGTGCAAGGATCTGAGTTCAATCCCCAGTTCCACCAAAAAAAAAAAACAGGCCATCAAAGTGTCACCAGGTAGCAGTGTCAGGCCATCACGTAGGTAGATTGTGTCCACCGCACTGTTTGCCTGTGGGGCCAGCAGGGGGTGAAGCTGGCTGGTTGGGGAACTTGCTTCTGGCTGAAGCTTGGGCACCAGGGGTGGCACTGGTGGTATCAATTTTCAGAGTCCTTGTAGCTCCAGGTCGAGATGACATGGAAGGATGGATGGTTGAGCCCCACCATGTCCACCTGATAAGTAGACCAGCCACACCCTAGTGCCCCTGTTCTTTCTTCAGTGGGGTCTGCGCCATGACAGGCCTCACAGTGTCCATGCTGACGTGCAGAGGTGGACACCTCCTGGACCACACTCATCCTGGCCGCAGCAGATAGGCCTGTCAGACATCCCAACAGGTCATAGCAGCTAGCTGGGACTCTGCTGACTGTGGTGGACACTCCATTGATGGACACACACTAAACCCACAACCTGTGATCGAAGCAGTGCTTGACAGGTCAAAGGCACCAACTGGGTGACTGTCCTGGGTTCTCATTTTTGGGACATCAACTTCTTGATGTGTGTGTCCAGCGCCAGGCTGATGCTGTTGTGTGCCAGCAGCCAGTGAAACTGCTACAAAACTACCAAGCATAGTCACAGCTGGGCCTCATTCCTTGTGGAAAATGGGGGCTTCAAGTTGCAGTTTGGGGAAGACGAGGTTTGATTTTTGTGCATTATCGCTGCTTAAAACTACCAGCCAACCGTGTGGGATACTGGAGCCAGCCAGGAGGGTCATTCTTGGTAAGAGCCAGAGATGACCTCTAGATGTGGAGAGCTGGTTAACAGAGGGAACACTGCCTCGGTGTGGGATTCTGAGGTCCAGGCCTGCCCAGGGTGCTGGCACAGAGCCCCTCAGCCAGCCTTTTTGGACTGCCTACCCAAAAGCTAGGAGGCTCCGAGGTCTGCACATCCCAAGGCCTTCAGGCCTTTGTGTCCTTGTGGAGCAACAAGTGACTGCACACTGGATGGTTTGTAATGTTTATTACCTGTCTGTCCCGGGCAGGAGCTGACAGCCTCCCAGGACTGTTCCTTCTGGTGCTCCCATCCCAGCCTGCAGCCCTTGGCTCGCAGCTCCTCCTCTCTGCAGAGCCAGTAGCACTGCATCTGCAGCCTCTTCCCCCTCCTGTGCCCTCTGGGAGACATTGGTCCCAGGATGGTCAGGATGACTCCCTCTTCGGATCCATCATGTGATCCCATCTGTAGTCTCTGTCCATGTGAGGTGTCCTCAGGCTCTGGGATGTGGCTGTGGACTTGCGTGGGTGCAGCCTCCATCACTGTCTCACTGTTTCTGGGCCCTATGTCCTCTGCCCTTGGCAGCTTGCATACCCTCCTCCTGGACACCTTGTCCCTAGCACACTCCAACTGGTGTGTCCCTGCCTCCAAGCTGTAGCCATGGGAGTCCTTCCAGACTTGCGGCTGGCCTTGGCCTTCAGTCCCTCCTCCTAGTCACCCTGTGGCTGGCTTCTGGCCTCCCCCAGAGGGTGTTCCCCCAAGGCCAGGCCTTGCTGTGGGGGACCTCTTTGTTTTGCTACTGTCTGGCACACAGTAAGGACATATTAAAGTTTAAGAAGGGAATGAGTGGAAGAACAGGTGGCCCTTCACTCATTGCCCGACTTGGGAGACCTCGGGACTTCCATACAGTGTGACCCTCAGGAGACCAGCACAGGGAGGAAGTGGGTGGACAGCTGGTGCCGCCACGTGCGGCTGCCTCGCCGGGGGGCCCCGCGCCCATCCAGCGCCAGGAACATGGGCCGGCCTCGGTGGCGCCAGTGCAGTGAGGCATAGGTGTTGTATCCGTTCTCCTCGATGCGCTCCCGGAACCTGCAGTCCACAGAGTAGGCCCGCTGCGGGGCAGGGCATGAGCAGAGGTGCAATGCCCTGCCCACCACGCCCTTTCCCCCCAGCCTGCTGTGTCCACTGCTATGGTTGGTACTCACCGACCCATACAAGCGGCCCTTGCGGTTCATGGCCACGTAGAAGCCTGAGTGCACAGCTTTGATGGCCACAGCACCCACACGGACCGAGCGGATCTCAACCACGCCTGCATGGAAGGGCTGGGTCAGGCAAGCCACCACTGGGCTCCCTTCCTCTCATGGCACCCCATTTTGCAAGCACCTGCTGTGTACCACAAGTTGTGTGGGGACCCTCACGAATGACGATAGGTGCCCCTGAGCTCCTAGGGGATGAATGGTGATGGCAGGTACCATTAGTGAGGTGGGTGTCCTGTACCCCCATACCTGTGCCATGCAAACCAATGTCAGGTAAGAAAAACTTGCCAAGGGAATGTCTTCTAGGGACCAGGGACAGCTCACAGTTCAGCAGAGTGGGATCAGGGAGGAGCCACCCAGCACTTAGCTGCCAAGGGCACTGGTGCCTTGTCTGGACCCCAGTCCCTGCCCTTTGATCCTCACTCTGGACCTGGACAACTAAGGCCCTGTGGGGCAGCCAGACATGGTCCACATTGCCCCCCAGGTCATGCTGGTCATAGTCACCCCAGGACCTTTGCATCTGCCATCTCCCAGCCTGCTCTTTCTTTGTATCCCACATGGCCTCTCTGAAATGAGGACCTTACTCCCCTCTGCATCAGGAGCCCCATTAGGGAGGCCATCTCAGTCACCACTTCATCCTGTGCCCAGCACAGTGCACAAAAAATAGTCAATAAATAACCACTGGGTTACTTAAAGGGAGCCCCAAACTCCACCCACAGAACTGTCTGTCATCTATCACCCCAGCCCCTGTCCAGATGGGGAAATCAAGGCTTAAAATAGTGACCATCCCAGGTGACCTGGCACAGCCAGGCCTCTCCCCCACCCTGAGGCCACCCCGCCTGGCCATGCCACCACTGCTGGACCTGCCCAGCCAGTCCCCTGTCACTGCCCTGGTCGTGTGCACCCTAATTGAGGACCTTGGGGCCCCAGATGAAAGGCTTGGGAGGGGCAGGGTGATTATCGGCCTGTGTATGGTGATTCAAGCTGCTCGCCCTGAGCGTGCCCCCTGCCCAGCTCCTGCTGGCCCTGGTGCCCAGGTACCCAGCTGCCTCCTCTGTGGCCTGGCCTCTTCTTGCCACAGCACATCACAAACATCGAAGGCCTACGCTTCTGGGCAGGGCCCAGTAGAAGCAGCAGAAAACGACTGAGACCTAGCTTCATGGACCCCTGGAGAGACCCTGAGCGTCTTTCCTCAGCTCCCAGCTTGGGATGGGGTCTGAAAAGAAACCAGGGCCTGGCTTTATTTCAGAAAGGCCAGAGTTCAAAGCCCATCCTTCTTTTTACAGTGCTAGGGATGGAATAAACCTAGGACCTTGACAGAGTGACATCCTCAGCTCCATTTTACTTTGTGAGACAAGGTCTTACTAAGTTGCTACCTTACTCAGGTAGACTCAAGCTTACATCTTCCTGCCTCAAGCTCCCAGAGTGCCTGTACAGCAGGTGTGCCCCCGCTCCTCATTGGTGCCCATCTCTGGACCTGCTGGGCTTGCTGTGCTTCAGACAGCCTGTTTACCACGGGGCTGAGTGACCTCACTTACAGCCCCTTCTCTGCAGTGGGGCCACGGCCTGACTACCCACCCTCTCCCATGGATGCTGCACCCATCTAACAGGGCGGGATGACAAAAATCATCGCTGCCCTTGCTGCTGTCACCTGCCTCGTGCGTCCCTGCCCTGCCACACTCACTGTCTTGGCCATCACGCCAGCGGGTCCCCTGCACGCGGCCGCTGGGGTCCACACGCAGGAAGAAGTGGGTGGAGGAGAAGAGGCGCCGCCAGCGCACATCGCCCTCCAGGTGTGGGTAGCTGCGTGATCTGCGCGGTGTGCTTGGAGCCCTCGAGGCGCCGGGCGCTCTAGCCAGCAGCAGCCAGGCCAGACCCAGCCAGAGGCGGCTGCGCATGGCCCGTTTGGCTAGCCGCGAGCTCTTGGCTCCCGCGTCTGCAGCCAGGTCCTGTGTGGTAGGGGCGGGGCGCCTAGGGAGAGGGCGCAGCCAATTGGGAGTCATGGGGCGTGGCCAGAGCGCGGGGGTGGGCCATGGCAGGCCAATAGGGTTGCAAGGGAGGACAGAAGGCGGGGCCATCGTGGGGATCCAAGTGACAGTCGTCCGCTCCGCACGTTTGTTTGTTTCTTGGGCTGAGAGCTACGCATGAAGCGAGCTCGCGCGCCTGGGTTGTGGAGACGGGAGCGGGGTCAGCAGGAAGGAGAGAGTCAGAGCCCCAAGAGACAGAGACCAGAAAGACATAAAGAGGAACAGAGATGAGAGAGATAGAAACACAAAGACCAAAGACAGAAGGAAGAGAACAAAGAAGAGGGCAGGTGAGATGGCTCAGTGGTCTAAAGCACCTACTTAGAACAAGTTTAGCAAAGCACAGGGACCGCGGTTCAATCCCCCAGCACTACATGCCAGCCAGCCCCGACCCCTGGTGGGCTGAGCAGTCCACACACACACACACATAAATAAAATTAAAAAAAAAAAGAGAACAAAGAAGAGACAATGCTGGGCATGGTGGTGCATGCGTTGCCTAGCACTCGGGAGACTGAGGCAGGAGGATCACTGGGAGTGAAACCCTGTCTCAAAAAAAAAGAAAAAAAGAAAAAGAAAAAAAGGCCGGCCAAATAGCTCAGCGGACTAAAGCGCCTGCTTAAGCACAGCGCAGCTGCAGGGGTTCGATCCCCCTCGTGCGGTGTCTCCACTCCCGTCCGTGTTCCCCCCCGCCCCCCCGCACGCTGACAATGAGATTTAGACTAGGCATGGTGGTGCGCACCTGTAATCCCAGAGCTTGGGAGGCTGAAAATAGGAGAATCACTACGAATCTGATCTATATAGTGACACCTTGTACACTCTGTATTAAATACATTTTTTAAAAAAAGACAAAATAGAGAAGAGATAGATAAGAAGAGACAAACAGATAAACAGAAACAGAAAAAGCTACAGGGACAAAGACTGTGTTGGACATAAAGAAGTGACAATGGAGTGGGGAGGTAGCTCAGCTATCTAAGCACCTTCCTGGCAAGCACAGCCAGGAGCTGGGTTCAATCCCTGGTACCAAATGCCATGCTAGCCCCACATGAACCAGCCTCCAAAACCGAGCGTGGTGGCACATGCCTGTAATCCCAGCACTGGAGAGGCTGAGACAGGACAATTATTACAAGTCTAAGCTGCGTAGTGAGACTGTTTACCAATAAGGGTTTTTGTTTGTTTTGTTTTTTGTTTTGTGCGGAACCAGGGATTGAACTCAGGCCTTTGCGTTTGCCAGGCAATTACTTATTCTACTGAGCTATCTCCCTGGACCCCTAAAATAAGTAATTTTAAAAATTTAAAAAAGAAAGAAGTGACAGCACTAGGCATGGTGTCATACTCCTGTCAAACCAGCCATTGGGAGGCTGAGGCAAGAGAGTACTGAGGTGAGGGGCAGCCTGGTCAACGGAGATCCTGTAGAGATCAAAGCAGAGGTTTCCAGCCTGCATGGCAGGTGCTGGGGCCTATACCTACCTAGACTGCACTTGCCAGGTGGCACTCACTTCCTCCAACATGGGCTGGAGGGACAGGAGCTGGTGGCTGGAGGAGCCATCCATGTGATGGCCAGACTGCAGGACCACGGCAGCCCCATCCACAACTGCACCGTGTCCACTTCTGGTCATACCCTAGGTGATGCCCACCCTTATCACTTGCATGTTCTGGAGGCTAAGAGAGGGACATGGAGGCCAGAAGAGTCACCACCAGGCAGGGAAACTGAGGCTGAGTGAGGCAGCAACTCTTTTCACTGGGAGGGACTCATGCAGGATTCCAGTTCCCTCCGGCCCTGGGCAGTAGTTTTGAATAGCAGTGGGGTGAGGACAGCCAGAGAGTGTGCCCTTTTGGAGAGCTCCCAGGAGGGCAACCGGTCCTGCCAGACACTAGGATTCCTTTCCAATGGCTCAGGGGATCCCCACACTTCCTGACTGCAGATCACTCCGGAGCAGGGTGACTGCCTGTTTCCAGCACTAGGATTGAGTGTTGCAGGGTCCCCAGGCATAAGGTCAACACTGTACAGTGAGGTAGCACCCGAGAAGTCCCAGGGTCCTTCCTGCTATCTACACTCACTCTACCTCTGTGAGGTGGGCCAGGAAAGGGATGTCATCAAGCGAAAACCTGGGCAATACCTTACTCCTCAGTGAAACAGCCCACTCTGGAGTGTCCCCACCTGTACTTCGGAGGACATTTTTCAACCCAGACATGTCCTAAGTGTCCGAGGCAAATTCTTAATGATTGAAATAAAATAAAATCTTCATACCATACAGATCACCCACTTAAAGTGGGCAATTTGGGATCATTAATGCACTCACCAAGCTGTACAGCCACCACCTCTAATTCCAGAAGATTCCATCATCCCAAAAGAAACCCCAAATGTCTCCATGATCAGTCACCCTTCCCCTCCCAGCCCCAGCACCCCGAGTCCACTTCCTTTCTCTGTGCAACACAAGTGGAAACATCAAAACGACACCCAGGATTTGGAGTCAGATTTATTTACATCGATGGGCACTGATTGAGATCATTCCCAGAATATTAAGCCTTGAGGTTGGCCAGATAGCTCAGTAGACTAAAGTGCCTGCTTAGGCAGAGCGCAGTGGCTGGGATTCGATCCCCCGCCTGCCGTGCTGGGGCTCACTCAGACAAGACTGAGACTGGGCGTGGTGGCGTGCACCTGTAATCTCAGAGTTTGGGAGGCTGAAAACAGGAGGACTATGAGTCTGATTTTTTTTTTTTTTTTTTTGGCGGAACTGGAGATTGAACTTAGGTTCTTGTGCTTGCCAGGCAAGCATCTATTCTACTGAGCTATCTCCCTGGCCCCTACAAATCTGATCTGTGTAGTGAGACCCTGTGGATGCTGTAGACCCTGTACTAAATACATTTTTTTTTCAGAACTGGGGATTGAACTCAGGCCCTTGTGCTTGCCAGGGAATAAATACATTTTTTTAAAAAATTAGGGGGGCCTGACCATTAGCTCAGTTGTTTAAGTGCCTGCTTAAACAAAGCAGTGAGGCTTGGGATGCTGTGGTTCGATCCCCAGATCCTCAAGGCAAACCAGACCTGCCCTGAAGGCATCCTCATGCCACCTAAAAAAAAAAAAAAAAAAAATCCTTCTGCCCTTTGGGGCCAGGGAGATGGCTCAGTAGAATAAGCACTTCGCTGGCAAGCACAAGGGTCTGAGTTCAATCCCTGGTTCCGCTCAAAAAATTAGGCCCGGATCTCTGGTAGTCTAGGGCTTATATGCGATAAGCAAGCAGGAAGTATGGAGGCCGAATGGTTTGTCAATTGGAGATTAGTTCATACAATGTGCATCACAGTAACCAGTCATTTACTTTTTCTTCTTCTTCTTCTTTTTTTTTTGCAGAAGTGGGGATTGAACTCAGGCCTTTGTACTTGCCAGGGAGGAGCTCATTCCACTGAGCCATCTTCCCCCTAACCAGCCATTTCTTTTTTTTTTTTTTTTTTAATTCTATTTGTGTGTGTGTGTGTGTGTGTGTGTGTGTGTGTGGCCAGCTCAGCCCACCAGAGGGCGGGGCTGGCTGGCATGTGGTGCTGGGGGATTGAACCGCGGTCCCTGTGCTTTGCTAAGCTTGTTCTAAGTAGGTGCTTTAGACCACTGAGCCATCTCACCAGCCCCACCAGCCATTTCTAAGAGACAAGAGCAACTGGAACTGCAATGAGGGCAACCAAGAAACTGAAGTATATTGGCTGGGGGTTGGGCATATTCTGCTATGTCTGGAGTCACCTGTCCAGAGCGTGTTCTGTCCGTGAAGCCCAAGCTGTGCGTCCTCTGTCTGGTGTCTCTCTCTGAACATGGAAAAACCAAGGTCGCTGTAGTGATTGCCAGACTCTCCCTCCTCCTGGCTGAGTGCTGTCGGAGTGCCTACATGTGGACAGACCCTGCTGTGTGTGCCCACTCGTCCCTGCATGGACACGGGGGCCATTTTTACCTTGGCTGCTGTTTGAGGCCCTGCCACACTGTTTTTCACCATGGCCACACAGTTTTACGTTTCCAGCAAAGTACAGGGTTCTGATTTCTCCACATCATCTCCCAGCCATGCTAGCAGGGTGGAAGTGATATTTCCTTATGATTTTCTTTTCTTTCCTTTTGCTTTTATCTTAGTTTTTTTCCATGTGGAGGCTCGAACTCAGACCTTGCGCTGAGCTATATCCCCAGCACCTCCCCCCACACTTTTTTTTTTTTTTTGAGGACCTGGGGATTGAACTCAGGCCCTTGTGCTTACCAGGGAAGTGCTTATTCCACTGAGCCATTTCCCCCCCCCCCTTTTCATTTGGAGACATGGTCTTGGTTGGTTGCCTTGGCTGGCCTCAAATTTGAGACCCTCCTGCCTCAGCCTCCTAATTATAGCCATGTGCCACTGTGCCTGGCTACTAATGATTTCCTTTATGCAAAGGATGGAGACCTTGTTGGGCACCACGAGCTCTATTGCGGAACTGTACCACCTGCCTTTTGCTGATTTTTGAAGGACTTCAAGCTCACAGAAAAGTTACAAGAGCAAGAATCATTCACTGAACACTTGCATGCCTTGCCCTGGACTCCTCAATTCTTTATGCTCTTTCTGCCTTTCATCTGCCTGAGAATGAGTAAATGTTTTGCCACAAAGTCCAACACCAGGATACTACATAGCCTTGAAAAGGCCTCCACTGCACACAGCATGGATGAGTCTCCCAAGCAACACTGAGTCAAGGCAGACAGACATAAAGGAATCATCCTGCTGGACATTTAAGAAGGGCTTCGGAAATTCCAGAAGACTTTGGGGCTGATATATGCTGTTACTCTTCCCAGGACACCTGGTCACAGATGTGTTCAATTTGTGAAAATGCACTGATGTGAGCGCCCCCAGCCTAGCAATGTGGATTGAATCCAA